GGTATTTTAAGTAATTAACCAAGGGTAAATTAAAAATTCCTAATAAAAACAAAAGCATTTATTAACAATAGTAAACCATGACATCATCGATATGGTGTGTGACATCACCCACAAGATGCATTAATTATTTTTAACTACTAATAGAATGCCACTATTTTATTATAAAAATATCCATTCTATTTTTTTAAATGACAAAAAATGTCCCTACTTCAAAAATTTTGTATTACAATTCAAAATTATTTTAGCGTCAAAAAGTACTTAGCATTGTAAAGGTCTATACCACAAAGTGGTGTAGCCTAACAACACACACATATCACCACCCCAACCACCAATACATTAAGTCTAATTTGAAGATTTCCAACATTAAATATAGTCAATTTACTCCCTCGAAGCTGGGCTGGCAATGGGCTAGGCTCTGGGGCATGGTCCCTATGGGACTAGTATTAACCTAGCGTGGTTAGGTCCCCTGGCCTAATTTGGGCATGACCCTATACGGACTTGGACCAGACAGCCCTAACTCAGGCCTTGACCTGGACCTCGGGCCTCAATTTATTGGCCATGCCTTAGTTTTTTAGGGTTAAAAGTGGAAGTGACCTCAAATGGAGCCCAAATGTGCAAAAAGAAATGACATCATAAATGGTGATTGTCCATTTTACAATAAAATCCTTGGAGGCAGGTCATTTGGCCAATGGAGTGTGTGCGTGCTCCGACGAGACTATATTAAATTAAAGGTGGTGTGTGTACTTTGTGCTCCCACAAGGCCATATTATATAAGTGGACATTGTTTAGACAAGGCCAAAAAAAGAAGGAACCATATTAGATACTGGAAAAAGCTTATATAAAGTTACAACCTTAAAATGTAGAATTAAAGATGCACCTCAAAAATCCATCGAAAAATGTTGTTTTAATGTTGAAAAAGCCTCTAATTCATTATCTCAACATCGAGATGTATGAATATGAAAAGATAAAAAGATCGAGAGTCCTAGAAATAGTGCATCTTGCAACAAATTATCTAGACCATCTATTTTCAAGATTTTTATGTGTTTATAGATCTACTTGATTTTAAACATTTTTAGAACTTAAAATTTTATAATTAAAGATAAAATAGATTTTCGAACAATCCTAAGAATTTTTTAAATCAAAATTACATGTTATGAAAATTTTTGGAGGTGCATCTTAATTGGATTGTTTAAGGTTGCAACCTTATAGAAACCGCACCCTAATAGATATGGTTGTGGGACATAAGATTTTGACCTCTTAGAGTATATAGTCCATTTACTCCTTCAAACAAAACCCACTCTAGGTGTGTTTTTATGGGGTTGTGATTTCATGCAATGGTTGTAAAGTAATATGATGTAACAACTTTCAAAAATCATGTTAGTGCCATTTGTTTGATCCAAATTCTAAAATATACACTATTTTCATTCTAATAAATAATCACCAAAAAAGAAAAAATTAAAAATGGAACCTAGAAAGTATTTATTTAATCCAATTAATATAAGTCGTCTATTTTGATAAGATGCTTAGATCTAGGACTTATAAGAATTTTTTCTTTTCCAAAATTTTGAGATGGTTTTTTTATCATTAGATCAATAATGTTAAAAAAGAAAAAAATGATTTTGAATTTGTAAAGGCTAAGATCGTGAAATTCACCAAATGAATGGTTTAGATTCATTGTTGGAGGTGATACATTTAGACCATATCTAGGGATTTAAATTGATTTTTTTTTTGGGGGATTGATTATTGAGATAAAGAGAGTGTATGTACAAAATTTTGGGTTATACAAATGCCACAAACATGGTTTCTAGAAGTGTGGTTGCATTATAGTATGATACAACCGTTGCATGAAATCATTGCCCATTTTTAGGACCTAAAATTTGGGGATGTTAAGCTCTTCAACATTTATGCTACACTCAATAAATTTTTTTTTCTAAATTGCATTCTCTATGGGCTTGAAAAAAATAATATATCAAGATTGAATAAAAACCGTCCACTTTTTTAAAGGTGTGATCCCAATGTTAGAAAGCTCAAAATTCAAATTTTGTCTAAAAATCTTCCCAAGTTAATCTTCATCAGAAGGAGTAATTGTACAGTATAGCCTCCAACAGGAGCATAACATACATGATCAAGTGATATTTTAGGTGTCCTTTGACAAACTTCCTAACATGTATACTATGGTCCGGCAAGAGCATTACCTTTCCACTTACTCCCTTGGGTAAAAAAAAATCTACTTTTGAGGATTTTTTTTTACCTAGTTTTTTTTAAAAAAATCCACTCATAAATCACCATAAAATTATTTTCTTAAAAAAAATTGAGCACTTGGATGTAGCTAATTAATACATGGATGTTATTATCTTGAATTTTATTTTTTTAAAAGTAGCATAGGGATTGAAGAGGTTAATAAATGGGAAAATAAAAAACCTCAAGACTACATTTTCTGTGCAAGTTACCGTGTCCTAACTTTTTCTCTCAATTTTTTTCCAAAATACACTTTCAATGTAAATACCCTCTAACCAAATAAAAAATAAAAAAATACCTAAACTACCCTCCTTTACTTTTATCTTACTTATGCCTCTCTCCTCTATCCCACCAAAATCTCTTCTATCCCACCAAAATAGAGGTTTCGGTATTGTGTAAGTCCGGTTTGGCAATAGGCCTCGATCTAAAATGAGGTTCGGTAGTACGGCTCCAATACTGTGTAAAATGCGGTTCGGTAGTAGGGCTCTGATACTGTGTAAAATGCGGTCTGATAGTAGATGTTACTGGATTCCAAGACTACCGCACTATGTAAAGGTAGTCCGGCAATACTAAGTTTCAGTAGTTGTCTTAAGGTTGTCAGGCACTTATGCGCTTCGGCAATGTTAACTGAGTCCAAAAGCTATCATCAAATCTGACCAAAATGATTTTTGTGTACGAGAACGCACTTGTGCGGTTCGACAATGTGATAGTACGTTCCGGCAGTGCTGCTCGGTCCAAAAGCCAACATCAAATGTGACCAAAATGATTTTTGTGTATGAAAAAGGCATTTCTATCTAACAAGAATTAAACTTTTTTTCTTGGGGGTATTTGTATAGAAATTGTTTATAAAAAAATAAAATGAGAGAAAAAAATTAGGTTGGGTAAGTTGCAACAAAAAGTTTCGCTTTTTTTTTTTTTAACGGAAGCCCGAAAAAATTATCCCGGGCTACCGAGGGAGCAAACGCAAAATAATACTTTCGCGTGAGCGCGAGATCTTTTGAGTTTTGACAAAAGGAAAACCAAAAACGTGGGAGCAGTTTGTGATTGCGTTGGTGAGAAGCCAGGGAAGGCGGCAAAGCGCGGTAGATTTTGGAAGCTATAAATAAATCTCAAATGGAAACCCCCTTTTTTCAATTTCAAACGGCGACATAGAGAGAGCGCCATTTCTCTTCACCATGACTGAAACCGATGCGCCTCCTTCTTCTTCCTTCTCTATAGGCAAGATTTAACGAAACCCTAGTGAAGAAATCATTTATAGTTCCGTTGCTTGATTCTGAACCCCCATCTCTCCTCTGTTTTCATTGCAGGAAATTGCCAGGTCAAAATCAATGGAAATGCTTGTGTTTCTGAAGATGATAACCAAAAACTGCAGATCTCGGTGTTAGATGCTGCTAAAATTGTTATCTCTGGTAAGGATATCGCCTATAGGTCTCTTACTTTTGGGGTTTTCCCTTCCCTCTGCTCTATTTCTATGTGTTTGAGGTTTTGCCCTTACTCTACCTTCTTTGCGTTTGAACTTGGACTTGAAATATATCATTTTAGCTTCGATCTTTGCTCTAATTTAATTTTTTGTTTTGTTTTTTGGGGCAAAACAGTTAATAGAACATCCGGAAGGCGTACAACCAGGAGAACTGCTCGCCATTCTGGTAATTTGTTGAGATTGGAGAGTGGTTCGACTCATGATTTACTTGTGTAGAGTGAGCTTGTGAATCAGGGGGGAGAGAGAACATGATTTACTTTTGTAGAGTACGCTTGTGGATTTCATTTTGAAAGAATTAATCTCTTTAATTGCAGGAGAGCTTTGTCAGACTATTCCAGAGGGTTCCTCATTCCTGGTTTTGAACCCAAAAAATGTTGATGTTCAAGGAAAACTGTTGCTTCAGGTGATATATCATGTCTCACTTTTCCATTTATTGGTTTCAAATGTTTAGCTAGCACAAAACCTTAGAAGTGGCAAACTCCAAATATATCTAAAAAAAAAGTAAAAATACTGAAGAATTTTTTATGTCCTTGATTGACAAGTAGTAATGTATGGAACGTAGTCCATATAGTGGAACTTGGTTTTCGTTATTAATAATTTTTGGGAATAAAATGAACATAACTGCCCTGTTTTGAGTACCAAGGGATGTTCCCTTGTCATTGGAACAATTTTCTCTAATGGTTTTGCTGTTCCAGTTGTTTTGCAACGTCGTAAAGTTTCCCTATTGAAGAAACTGTATTTGACAAATGTCTGACAAAGTATTGTGAAGCATTTGCTGTTTTAACTTAGGTTAGAAACTCATAAGCTATGCGGAATCTCTCTCTCTCTCTCTCTCTGTTCTTTTTTCTTTTTTTTCTGGGGTTCCATAACTTGTTCTTTTGCTACCTTCTGTATTCAGTGAAGAAGGATTTTTTTTCTTACCGTGCTTGACATCTTAATTTGGTTTATGCTTTCATGGAACTGCAGAATGTACTCAAGATCTACAAGGAAGAACTTCCATCCATGAAATTTGTTGCAACTACTGGGAAAGAATCAAATTTCCTTGAGAAATGTGTATTGAGCGGGTATAAATAGATGTGCTCTTATTTTTGCTTCTAGGTTCCAATTTCTAAGTATAATTATCTTTTTTTTTGCCTTTGGATTTCTAATTTGATGGCGTTAGTTTCATCCTAGGATATTGTGCTCCTTGCCCAAGCACATGATTTCTGGCTTTACAGCTCATTAGCTTTGATACTTCATTTGTAAATAATAATAATTTTAGCTGCATTTATGTGGATTTTCATTGTTGCCTTCCAACAATCTGATGGTTATGTGGTTCGGCTTCCAACAGGAAATATTGCACCGTGGTTTTGAAATCCAATGCTATGAGGGGATTTGGAGGGGTACGTGGTTTGGCGTGCAACATAGTGCTGTTTATGTGTATATGCATTGTTTTAATTATCTTAATTGATGTAAATTCTGATTAAAATTCATCTTTAGTTCTTTACATCTTACTTTTCCTCGAGAAATATTATATGTACAGCGTATGGAGACTGTCTGTTTGGGTCATCATCGAATATGCATTATCTCTTGAGTTACAAGAAGATAATGATTGGAAAGGCAGTCGCTTACCAGCTATAGTCCTTAGAGCAGCTGACTCTTGGGAATCCATCTGAGGTGCAATGAATATGAGGTTGATAGGTATCTGGAATTGGAGGAATTGGGCGATTAAATTATTGACTTCAAGAGGTGTTAGAAGTGGATTGCATTCTTGCATTAGCAACTGGGAGAGAATCAGTGAATGCCCACTGTATTTTGGTTCCTTTAAGAGTAATTTATGCCTATATCCTTGAAAAGTTCTGTTATTTAAAAAATCCCCAAAAGTTTCATGTTATTATGTTGGTACCCAATTTGTTTGCAAATTTTTGAAAATGATGATATTCACCTACTTCAGATTTTGAGAATCCAAAGTTTAACATTTATGTATTATTGATCAGTGAAGTATGTAAGGAGGCCTCAACATACTTCGGAATTTGTAAATCTGAAGTATTGTAGTTGAGAAAATGTTTCAAAACTTAAAATTCCAAAGTTTTCCTCATCAAACTTGAAAAATTCCAAAGTATTTGCCAAACTAAAATACTTTGGATTTTCGATTTATGAAGTATTTGCTCAACTAAAATGCTTTGGATTTTCAAATTCCAAAGTTTTCTTGGGCCTCCTTATAGTATAAATGTTAAAGACTTCGGATCCTCAAAATCCAAAGCAAGGGCAATATTATTTTTTTGGGTAAGTAGAAGGGCAATATTGTTATTTTTGAAAAAATGCAGACAAATTGGGTTCAACCGTAATAACATGAAAGTTTTGGGGACTTTTTAAATAATGGGACTTTAGGATGATACATGCGTAAACTACTCTTGCATCAATATATTTAGAATTGGATCATGAGATTTCTATACCCAAAATAAGTGAGAAGCCAATATCCTCGTCTCAAAGGTGTAGTAAGCTTTAGGTCCTTGACCTCTGGCAACGTAATTCTAGTTTACATAATGAATCACATAACAAACAAATGACAATAACAAGCAGTATATTTCTGGTGAGCAACGAGTGTTTTGCAAGTAGCCATGGTACTTGTGAGCCCCTTAAATTATAGTAATGGTACCTTGCACTTAAATAATTTAAACTTTAAGTAATATGCTGAAGTTTGTAAACATAATTAGGATATTGTTGATGCACGATTCGAGGTGAATCGTTTAGATTTTTCATGCGTTTGGCAAGAAGACATTCTCGATGTCCCTTTGAAAAAGTGGCCCTCTTAGAAGTATTATTTTTCATACTACTGTTTAAGAGTTGAGATTGACAATTTTGTGTTCAACATTGTGGTGCGACCAGTGTTCAAAAAGTCGGCTGCCCAACCGCCTAGGATATTGTTGATGCACGGTTTTGTTGAGGTGAATTGTTTAGATTTTTCATGCGTTTGGTGAGAAGACATTCTCGATGTCCTTTCGAAAAAGCGGCCCTCTTAGAAGTATTATTTTTCATACTACTGTTTAAGAGTTGAGATTGACAATTTTGTGTTCAACACTGTGGTGTGACCAGTGTTCAAAAAGTCGGCCGCCTGACCGCCTAGGTGGCTATTTCAAAAAAATGCCTAGGCGTTCTTAATGCGGTATGTGTTAGGAGCTAGAACTAGGCGCCGATTAGGCCGTAAAAGGCGTTCGCCTAGGCGGCACGCAGGGTTATAAAGTGGGGATAAGGGTTTTGGGGGTCATTCTTGCCCCCAAAAAACAAATTTAGTGAGCTTTAAAGAAAAACAATTTGAAAAAAACTAGATTTGAAGATTTTTTGAGAGATTGAATTTTTTTTCGAAATCCTCGAATGGTGACGATATTAAAGGATATTCAACTCCAATCTTTTTGAGGCTTATAGGGGTTGTAAAAGAGGATATTTGGGATCCCAAATATTTCGGTTTGGCCTAAAATCGAGTCCACTTCAAGAAGGTTGGTATACGTCAATAGTTTTTATTAGGTTTTGTATTTTTTCCTTTAATATCTAATGATGTTATTTTTTGCTAGTTGTATTTTTTCTTTGATACTTTGTGATATATATTTGATATGTTATTGTCTATTTGGAATCTTGAATTATTATTTTATTAGTCTAATAATTGCTTAATTTTTAATTGCTTATTAAATAATTGTATGTGCAATGTGTTTTCTTGATGTATAATTCATAAAGCTTAATTATTTTATTAGTTAGTTTAATATTTTCTTCATGCTTATAGCTTATTAAATAGTTGCATGTGTGATATTATTTCATTTACAATCTAAAGTTGCAAATGCTTAGGTTTGATCTGTGCTTCCGGCATCTTAAAAATATATTACATACAAAACTTACTTATTAAATAATAAAATAGACAATTTTATATATCATAAAATGGAGGGAGGTGTGGGGGATCCAAATTTAAAAAAAAAAAAATTCACCGGTATTTTTGGGTCTGAGCGGCCACCTTAGCGCTTAGCCGGCCCAGCCCCCCCACCGCCTAGGCAGCCGCCTCCGCCTTATTGAACATTGGGTGTGACAAAAACCTTCATGTAGAGCTCCACTGGTACCTCTTTTAGATTTAATTCCACATGATCCAACCAAAACCGACAATAATCTTTTCAATTGGGGAAAGGGCATGAGCTCAAGTGTCATTTAAAGTAAATAATGTGAAATCGTCCTTCATGTAAGAGATTAGATGAACATAAAAAAAGAAAAAAAATAACTAGGGATTGTGCTATCATGTCAAATATAGATGACTAATAGAAAATTTGCTTATAAAGGACAATTGGTTTTGGTAGATCTACTAGGAGCTGTGAATGATGAGGGAGTTGGACCACTAGGTTTGTGACTATAGGTCTTCAGTGGGAATGTGATGTAATAGATGCCTCTTATCTATAAAGCTGCTAAGGATGGTTCTGTAATGAGGTATCAACTGAACATGCATTCTACATAGCAACATGCCCTTAGTTGGAGATAGCTCCCATTTTGGGCCTTTTTTCGTTTTGGGAGCACAAATTTCTAGGGAACCTGTTCCCCTTCTAAAAAACACCCACAAGACCTACATATGTTTTTCTGGTTTATCTCATGTTTTCTGGTTTATCTCATTAGTTTTTTGTGCTTTCTTTAGCTGTGATATGCATAATTGATATTATACTACTAAGTTGAGGTTTCCAAAAACAATTAAGTTCTTTTATTATCCATTTGAACATAAGTTTATTTATGTTTACAGGTGGTTGCTGCCATATCATATCAAATAATACCTGCTGATACTCAATTTGCTGAAATTCCTGTTGCTGCTGTTAGAGAATGCTACCAACATAAGGTCAGTACAGCTCATTCTTTTGGGGACATAGTCTGTATTTTTCCTTGATCAGTGGCTCGTTTTTGTAAAGCATTCCCAATATGGAGTTACTAATGTTTTTCTTCTGTTCGACATTTTCTTCCTAACAAGGGGACTCTGTTTGATTTCCAGAACTGGCCATTTTTCTTGATCTTCTTCTCTGCTTACCTGCAACCAACAATAAGGAAACCAGTCTATTCCTATAAGGGAGAAATGAACCTGTTAGTATGATACTATTGTTGTATAAATGAGAATGGGTAGTTTCTTGTGCGCTAGGTAGTAGTTGCCTCTTGAATCCTTGAAACTTTTGGAAAACCTCTTTTTAAAATTTTGGTTTTTTTTTGTTGCATTGCCGTATGTTACATCACCTAATAGTCATTTTGAGCTTCACATAGATTTGCTAACATTCTTTTCCTATCTCTCAAGGAACCATTTATTCCTCTCTGGAAATCATTCATTAGGTGGGTACTTTCCAGGCGTGTCTTCCCTTCTTATATTCCTCGTGTTGGCTGTAAACACTTGAGGCAAATGATAAGTTTGCTGCCTAATGATAAATGTACACCTGATTTTTTTCTGTCATCAGGTTGTTTGATATTCACTGGTTAATGATAGTCAGAAAGATCATTTTGAGATTTCCTGGATACATCTTTACATGATTCAGTGCCATATTTTGTTTTTTTGCTTTCTTGCTTTTAGTTGTCATAACATACTGTATTGTAAGAAATGGCCTATGTCACATGCCTTTCTTCCTTGTGTTTTCACATTCCTTCCTATCGTGCTTTTACTTGCTATATGCATCCGGTCATGAGATTTCATGATATGCATCTACCCATGAATAGAAAGTCCCTTGACGCGGCCAGTATAAAAGTACGGAAATCAAAGCAGATTAGGTTTATGGCAAAACCTTTCACTTACATGGAGAAACTGGTATTTTGGGCATAGGGGTTGAGTTTTAGCTCGCATTTTGCAAGGCTGTAGCCTTTTCTAATAAAAAACACTTATGAATCACCTGGGGGACTTCAGTTTGGATGGAAACCATACCTTAAAAAGGGATCTGGTTACCAAGAGCTGATTTAGGATGTAGAGCGGTTGTAGAATCATAAAGCAGCAGATATTGGGGTGGATTATGGGAGTATCTTCAAGGCAATAGCTGTGGTATTAGAATTGCAATAGCTGTGGAATGAAAATTATGTGACTTTTGACTTAGTGTAGCAGGAAGCACTATAGCTGTTGTTGGATGGAGCTTTCAGTTGTCGGATTGGTTTTTGGGTTGTTTATGTGTAACTCAGGCATTGATCACTAGCTATTCAAAAGTATTTTAATCTTTTTGCATATTCTATTGAGAGCAATGTGTAAATTGCAATACTAAGAAACTTCATTTGCTCCTACTTCCCTTTTCTTCATCTGGCCTTCTATGTTTTCTCGTGATTTAGGGTATTGGTCGCCTCTTGTTCATGGAATTGAAGAGGAGGCTTCAAAATGTTGGCATTTTGACAGTATTTTGTTGGGGCGACAAGGTATCTGAAGGATTTTGGCTTAAACAGGTAAATTTGGCAGCACTATGTGAAATTAACTTTGTTAGTGTGAGTGTTAGACATTTTTCAGAATTTTCGATTGCCTTCTTCAGTGCTTGTCTCATTAGGATTTGGTGTTTTTCGTAAATACCTTTTAGAATGATCATGACATTACTTCTTCTGATACAAAATCTCCATGTAATTCTACCAAATGAAGAAAAAGCACTCTTCAGAATTAGCAGAGTTTGATGGCTTTTTTTGAGATGTTGCTTTTAGAGATTCATAATGAGAAGGCATCTTTTTGTTTTTTGTGAACAGAATTTGGACTAGTTCTGTTAGTCAGGTTCTGCTCACTGAGTTGGGGCTGTCATTTTGTGTCTCAAAACAAGAAATTTATTTTTTATGAACTATGGAAATGTTTCATATGTTTTCAACAGAAATTGTACCTTGCATTTGGAAATTTTGTAGATTCTACAGATTTGTTTCTTAGTTTCTTTCTTGAATCTTCTGAAATATATCAGCATTTACAATTTTTAAGAGATGAGGGCATTCTGCCGTACTTGTAATCACCAAGATAAATCGAGTTACTTTCAAAAATAAAATGTTTTGTAATAGACACAAATGTCACTTGGCAGTCCTTGGGCGTCTTTCTTAGTATCTTTCCTTTTGTTTATCAATTGCCTCTAATGCAGGGTTTTGTGACAATGGCTGAGGTAGATACCAAGGGGAGAGCACGTAAGCTTCCAATCAAAGCCGATGTTCGGAGGGCAATGTGTTTTCCTGGTTGTTCTACCCTTTTAGTTGCTCATTTAAATAAAGATATCAGCACGCCAATTGATAACCTGAATGCTACTCCCCCAAGACTTGTCCCGTCTTGTGATCTTCCACATTTTTGTTTGGTAGAACCTGAGAAATCTGTTACTAAGACATCGCCCACTATCCTGATCAAAACTCCTGGAATCTTAGAAGCAAAGATGTGCCATGCTTCTTCAAGAACTAATTTTCCAATGGAAATAGATGCATATGATCCCAGTGCTGGTCAGGACGTCGAACCTAAACATGAAGTCTTAAAACACTCGAGAGGCCTGCAAGAATGTGAAGGTAAGCTGAACGCTTTGGTATCCTTGTGGGTTGTGGTTTGTTGATTCACCAACAACTGTCATGAACTAGGATGTTTTGTTGGGTCTATTTCTTATCTTGAATCGTGCATAAATTGCTCAATGGAAAATGAAAATGTGGAATTTTGCCAGGGACTTCTCCTAGAGGCAGTGGGTCATTGCGCTACCCAGAGGTGGCTTATCAGAATGTTAAGGATCATGCTGGTAAAACCTCTGGTATTGGAGCAAGCACGAGTACAGATACTGATCACAAGCCTTTCTCCTGTGCTGGAAGAAGAGTGAAGAGGAAAATCCACAAAGATTCAGCACATTCATTTGATTCAAAAGAAGCCAATGCCACACATCAGGGTGAGTGTAGTGCAGACACAAATGAAGTTCCTGTATGTGAAGAACCCCAAAATGCTAATGGATCTGCCATTTGTTGTGGCCCAGCATCCTTGGAAGTTGGGTTTCATGATCCTCAAGAGCGAATTAGCTTGTCAGGTCATACCCAACAAGATGCACATGTTTCTTCAATGTTAATTATAGATAACAATCCAATATGCCTCTCTGTAAAAGAGCACCCTCTAGTAATGTTGGCAAATATTGCGGAGGATACTAAAAAAGAGCATCCATTTGATTCAAAAGAAGCCAAGCCAGCTCATCAAGATGACTGCTATCTATATACATGTGAAGATCATGTATGTGAAGGTTCCTATAATGATTTTGGTGCTTCATCAGCGGAAGTTAGTTACAAATTTCCTCAAGAGCAAAGTGGTTTGGCTGATCATGCCAAAGAAAATATGTCGGTTTCTACTATGTCACCCAGTGACAGCAATCCACCCTGGGTCTCTTCAAAAGAACACCCTGTAATATTGTTGATGAATATTGCTGATGATAATAAGAAAAAGTGGCTCACAAAGGTAAATAATTATCTTTATACTTGTCAATTGTCTTTAGATAGTGAATCTGTGATTTTTGTGTTTCATTTGTGGATATAGAAATATCCTTCTTTACTGTAAGTTGAATAGTTAGGGATACTTGTGACTCAGCAGACAATGACTAGCATGTTTTTGATGTGATTATGCAAATGTGTCAAACCCACCTTTTGAAAAGCAAAACTAGGATAGAATGGCCCAAAAACAATATAAAAGAAGTATATCTTGATTGATAGTTTCTTTTCATAATTCATAGTGTTCCCTTAGATGCCAAAGGCTCTTTCCAGGATGGCGTTCTTGTTCCGATGGTGGTGATTACACATCATTCCTGTGTAAAAATATGAGCTATGCACTATAATTCTTGATCCTGGTCCCTCTTCAATTATGATAAGATTCTTGCACTCTTTCAATCCTGCTCCTGTCTTAGCAACAACTAAGATTTGGTTTCTAAGGTTTTCTGGAACTTAAGAAACTTATTTTGGAATAGGGAAAGCATTTCTTAATGAAATCTCAATGTTTCTGCTTAAGAAATATGTTGATCATAGACATTGTTCTAAAACCCAGCTTTGGTAGTGGATTTGGCCCCTGCCCAAGCTGAGGACTTGGCTGACTTGGCTTTGACTTGCTTTAGCCAAGTCAAGGGTCAAAAAAGGCCCAAAAATTAGGAAAAGTCGAAACCCCATTGAAAACATGTTTGAGAATGACTTGGGGCTTTGGCGGTAGTATTGTCGAGCCCCATGGTGAGGTCTTTGACTCCATTCTCATCAAAGGGTAGGGGTTCAACTTTTGAGGTCTCTGACTCCATTCTTACCAAAGGGTAGGGGCCATTAACTTTACTTACCCAAAAAAAAATAAAAAAAAATCTAAAAACTCAGCAGAAGTGCAAATAGTGACGAACACCATATGAAGTATGTTAAAGGTGGAAAACGATGTCAATAGAGCAAATATATGAATGTAAAAATAAAATAACAATGAAATTTACCTGGATTTTTTAGCAGATCCCCGAATCTTCGTGCTTGGTGCAAATTGATTCCTCCAATCAATGTGAAATCTTCCTTATACCACTTGAATCGAAATCTTCCAACCTATTTTGGGTTTTGAATTCGATCTAGGAGAACCGAGCTCTTGAAAATTCAGATGAATATAAATCCGAATTATAAATCTATCATAATCTAAGATTTGTTTTTAAGGCTTGGGATTCAAAGCTCATCAAAGATTGACCCAAATTTGGAAAGAAATGACAAATTTTTTGAATTGGGCAAAACCCTTACCTGGAACCTTATATCTCAAAAATATTTGAAATTCAACTTTTCTTTGCTCGACCAATGTTTATCATGTTTAGATCAAGCTAAAAAAATAGCTAAGGGTCAAATTTGGGCAAAATGGGGGTCTCTGGGGCTCACAATTGAAGGAGAAATGAAAAGGGAGCTCAATTTCTGGCCCCCTTGGGCCCCTGCTTTTATAATGGTTTTTAATGGTACTCTGCCTGAGTACTTTGCAGACTTGCCCAATTACTGCAGAGTACTCCTCAGAGTACCATGCAGTGTACCCTGTTGCGGCCTGGGCACCCTGCTGAGGCAGCGACTCTCCAGAGTTCAAATCGACTAGGACAGGTATTCTAACATTGATCATAGAAAAATGTTTAAATATGAAGGACACTGTTTCATTAACCTTTCGATTTTCAGCACTTACCTATTTTCTCCCAACAGTCTTATATTGGTGTTTCAAGCTCTCCATTACCAAGGGCACTGTTTTATTTTTATTTCCTTCAGTGCCTGATGCACTTTCAGTGGTAATCTACAGTCTACATCTTAAGGAAACCTTCAATCTAAAGGGTCAACGAATTAAAGATTGTTCTTGTGATGAACTGTAGGATTTGGGTTTTCAGCAAGGTAAGATAATAGCAGTTTTCATTAGATCTATTGTGTCCTTCAAGTGTTTTTAATTATACTGAAGACAACAAAGGAATTGGCGTATAAATTTTCAAATTGGTAACAAGAGAAACTCTCTATTTGAAATTAGTTCCCTCTCCTGCATTTTAGTTTAAAGTTTCATACAAATATGTCATGATTCACTTACAAAGAAGTAATTCCATTGCTTTTTGTTTGAGAGTGACTTCTTTTTATTGAATTGCATTGAATATTTTCATGTATCATGGCTGGTTCGTCATGGATTTATTTTTGACTTCATTTACTGTATTTTCAGCCCTACTCATAAAAAATTTGGCTTTTTAGAGATCATACTCAAAATTTTGTTTGACTATTAGCAGTCCTCATTACATCTATTATGTCCTTCGAGTGTTTTTAATTGTACTGAAGACAATGAAGGCATGGCATATAAATTTCCAAATTGGTAACAAGGGAAACTCTCTATTTGAAATTAGTTTTTGCTTTTAATGAGCTTGCGTCGTACCCTCTCCTGCATTTTAGTTTAAAGTTTCGTACAAATCTCTCATGATTCACTTACAAAGAAGTAATTCCATTGCTTTTTGTTTGAGATTGACTTATTTTTATTGAATTGCATTAACGAATATTTTCAAGTATCATGGCTGGTTCATCGTGGATTTATTTTTTACTTGATTTACTGTATTTTTAGCCCTACTCATAAAAAATATGGCTTTTTAACGATCATACTCAAAATTATGTTTGACTATTAGCAGTCCTCATTAGATCTATTATGTCCTTCAAGTGTTTTTAATTATACTGAAGACATTGAGGGCATGGCGTATAAATTTCCAAATTGATAACAAGAGAAACTCTCTATTTGAAATTAGTTTTTGCTTTTAATGAGCTTGCACTGTACCCTGTCCTGCATTTTAGTTTAAAGTTTCATACAGATCTCTCTTGATTCACTTACAGAGAAGTAATTCCATTGCTTTTTGTTTGAGAATGACTTCTTTTTATTGAATTGCATTAACGAATATTTTCAAGTATCATGGCTGGGTCATCATGGATTTATTTTTGAATTCATTCATTGTATTTTCAGCCCTACTCATATAAAATATGGCTTTTTAAAGATCATACTCAAAATTATGTTTGACTATTAGTAATTTGTTTTTTTAATGAATACTATCACTGTTAGGATCTATGTTTCTATTGAGGTATTGGTCTTCTGTGTACAGATTGTTGAAGATCTAGGAGGTAGTGTTTCTTCTTATGGGAGCTTTAGCACACATGTTGTCACAGGTGTGGCTAGAAGAACCTTAAATTTCTGTTCTGCTCTTTCAGTGGGGTGAGTCTCTTTGAACTACTTGGGCACATTCTTATTTTAGCCACTTTAAATTGTGATAGGAAATCAAACCATTGTAGTTCGCTTAATGAACGTATTTACTCAAGTATCACTGTTTTTGCAATGTTCTTACATGCTTTTCAATTGCCATTTCTTTGTTTATTCTGTCAATACTCTAATAATCCATTGAGGAAGTTTCCTTCTTTTTTCTCCTTACTATTTAGTTACTCATAGGTTTAGTACTTGTTGAATGAAAATTGTTGTTACACAGTGCATGGCCATGTGTGCAATATTTTACTAAAGTTAACCTAGAGGGATTGTGTCATAGGACTTTATCCGAATAACAGGAATTGTTTATCTATGCAAAACGACATGCATCTAATGGTATTTTTAGTGATATAAACTCTAGCCAACAATAAGCAAATTGTCTTATTCTCTGTGTGTTGTGCTGGTCATTGATGTCTTAATATTAATATGGCTATGATCCTGCATTGGTATTCTTGTCGTCTTTTGTCGTGTAACCCTTTTTCAACCCTTTTGCTCTCTCTTATAAAGGGGCTTTACCTTAGGTTATGATTCCATTATTGAGGTTGCGGATTTGAATCATTCTTGATGAGTATAGTTTCTCATTTTTGATGAGATGAAATGTAGTCCTTGGGCAATTTGTATTGTAAAGCACAGTGTTTTAAGACTTAAAACCGGCTAGGTACTTGCCAAGGTCCCATGCTGAGTCACATACTTACACCAACTTGACTCAAATGATCTCAATAAGACTTGGCTGAGTCTATGGCTTAAAAATCCTACAAAGCCTGAAAAGTGCCTTATACATGTTACTCTTGTGATATTGCACGCGAGTTGGTGGAATCTCAAAGCAATTTGGCTCTACGGTTCCCAAGTTAACTGGCCGAGTTTTTAGACACTGGGATATGAGAGACATTCAAATATTACTAGTTTGAAAAAGGTTTCATGCTTCTGCATGAGCAAATTGTATTCTTACTCCCATGGGAAAAACACCTACTTCAGAGGTTTGTATAGTTGCTGGAGTCTCAAGGCAATTTGGCTCTATAGTTCCCAAGGTAACTGACTGAGTTTTGGACACTGGGAGATGAGAGACATGCAAATATTGCTAGTTCGAAAAAGGTTTCATGCTTCTGCATGAGCAAATTGTACTGTTACTCCCATGGGAAAAACACCTACTTCAGGGGTTTCTATACTGCAAAAGTTTCACATCTTTATTGTTCTCAATGAACAATCTTAAAAAGGAAAAGAATAATAATATCATGCCCTAAAGATGATCCAAATGAATGTTTGCTGCAATAGTTATTGCTGAAGGCCCATTCGATGGACAGTTAGATATATGTTTTAAGAGCTCTAAAATTACTTAATATTAGATTATTATTATAATATTATTATTGTTATATTATACTACATTTATATATTATATATTGTTCTTGTTGTTGAAATTGTTCTTCTGGTGGGGAGTGAGGTTTTCAGACTTTAAAATAGTCTCCTTAGTATGTATTTTGCTCGCGGGACTGGCTGTCCTAAATAATTACAACATTACCCATGGTTACATAAATATTTAAACCCATCTTCAATAATATCTGCAAGTGTGGATTGATGCATGGAGCACTTGGATGGATCAAATAAGTCATCATTTGTTAGCTGTTTGCAAAGATATGCATGAACTGTAGAGTAGTGAGGCACAGTGAACTCCATTCCTATTGGATATCTATTAAGGAGAAAGTTTATATAGAGCTGAGGCTCTAAACAATTTAGAGCGCTCCTAAAAAATTTCACTAGAAGAGGTTTTGATGCCCAAATATCGTCAAATGAATCATCTCGACATCAAGATGCATGGACGTGAGAACAAAATGGATTTCAAGTTTTGGAAATAGTGCATCTTGTAATGCATTTTTGGATCATCAATTTTCAAGTTTTCATAGATCTAGTCAATTTACACTATTTTTGAAGCTTTAAGTTTTATAATTAAAGATGAAAATATATTTTTAAGGCTATCATAAAGATTTCCAGTATTGAAACTACATCTCGACACTATTTGAAGATGCGCTCTACTTTGATTGTTTAGAGCCTCGGCTCTATACAAACCGCACCCATCTATTAAAGCAAAATTAGAATAAAAGCTATAACAATGTATATGATTATAGGACCGATTAACTGCTTCCCATAACCTCTATGAAGTCCACATTGGAGCTCCTTATGGTTCGATCTATTGAAATCTAATCTCTCTCTCTCTCTCTCTCTATATATATATATATATATATCCTATATTTTAAGTGAGAAGAGGACCTGCCCTATTTTTATGACATGTGTCATCTCCCTCTCTTTGCAATTGGTAGTTGTGGATATCACAAAGATACCTTTCCACCAAAAGATACGTCCTTCCCTACCCATGAAGTTCTTTAGTGCAAAATGATTAGAGCACTGCAGATATTATCTTATCTAAGCATAAAAATCCCCCAAAATTTAGAAACATAACAAGAGCAATATTAAGTTAATTTTTGGGTACTTGTAATGCACACACTCAATCAGGAGTGAAAAATTGGAAGTTCGTAGTGGAATTATTGAAGGAAATATCAAAGGGTAAAAGTTAACTAAGAATAATTCTCAACCATACAAGATAGAAAAGAAAAAGTCTATATAAGCTTGCAACCTTGTACTGTATAAGTGAGGGACACCTCAAAAGTCCAGTAGAAAAGAGTGTCTCAAAGTTGGAGAACCTTCCAGTTGATCATCTCCATAGCGAGCTGTTTCGAGATAAAAAAAAAAATAAAAGTTGTAGAAATTGTCTATCTTGTAACAAGTTATCTAGATCATCTATTTTCAATATTTTCAAGTATTTATAGATCTGCACGACCTGCACCATTTTTGAAATTTTAATTTTTTATTATTAAGGATGAACATGATTTTTCAAGCGATCATGAGGTTTATATCTTTTGGCAAAATTTAGAGCCACACCTTACTTGCATAATATAAGGTCGGCACCTTATCCAAACTTCACCCAAATAGAAAAACAAAATACATCCTAGTTTCTATGTGTTGGCATAACAATTGCAATTCTCATTGTGAAAAGTTTGTTTTTTCAAATTATTTAGTATTTGAATTTCAAATCTTATATCAGCACTTTTGAATTTAAAAGGGAAAGGTTTGAATGCAGGAAAAACTGAAGATAGAGGTTTGGTTTCTTATTGTGAATTTTGATCTCATATTTCTGAAATGAAGCCTTGCTAAAGTAGCAATTTAGCTGGCTCCAAGATTGGAAAGGGATGTGAAGACGGCCTATACATAAAAATACCGCCCTTGAATTCCTTGGGTAATACTTGAAAGTGAGGAGTGAATAGGGGTTCACAGCTTATGCTTAGTTTGTCAATATTAAAGTCTGGTGATTTTTAGGGAACTTGATTGTCTTCCTAAGTTTGTAGCAGTCTCGAATTATTTTAATATCTTGGTGGGCAAGTAGGGATGTCAACCCAACATGAGTGTGCATACGCCCCATTCACCATCACCGAGAGGTTAAACTCAAAAGGAAGGCTTTTTTTTTACTCTGGGGTGACTGAGTTACAAAAGCACACTAATTAATCATTGTAACAAGTTTGCTCAAATATGGTTCCAATGTGATTGTTTGGGCCATTTAGGAACATTAAATTTTTTTTGGGTAAGTAGGAGCATCAAATTAGTAAACAAAGGTTTGAATACTCAGTTTGGGCTTGGGAGTCTGCCCCTGCCTGGGCTGAGTGACTTGGATTAGTCCGATTGGACTCATTAGAATGGTGTGCATGCCTTAAAAAGAAGCAAAAAAACCCAAAAATTCCACAAAAAGAAATATAAGAAGAAAGGGAAATAGTTTTTTTTTTTGGGGGAGAGAGATATATATGAAAAAAAGGGGCATACTTCTGCCCCTCATTTCAGAGAGAGAGCGACCATGTTCGCAAGCCTTGAGTCGAAGTGGTCAAGATTAATGGTTGAGCTTCTGATTAAGGTGCCATGGCTGAGAAGTATCTCCAATGAGATTGGCCCAAATAAGAAGAATTATTATTATTATTTTTTTTGTGAGGGGGAGGGGAGACAGCAAGAGAGCTCAAATAATAAGAATTGTTTGGCCTCAGCTGCGTTTTCGAATGCTATTAGTGAATTCCTTTCCAGAAATATAGCGACATACTAATTGATGTTAGGAGGATTTCAACTTCGCATTTGGTGCTTTTGATTGACCATAGGTTTCCTTTGTTATATTTCTTCACACTGCATCAAAATTACATTTTTTGGTAGTTGTATTAGTTACTTCGACTGTACTTGTCATGCTGCATACCTGACCTTAGTTATGCATGCTTCTGCACCTTGCGTTTTTTAATTGTCATCTTATTATTGGAATTTAAATCGCTTCTCCAGAGCATGGATAGTCTCGCCTAAGTGGTTAAAAGAAAGCTTCAGAGAAGGCAGGTTCATCGGTAAGTCATTATCGACTGTGACCTCTAGAATTTTGGCTTAAATCTTTTTAGAAATCTAACTGTAGAATGTGCTTATTTTAGGTGAATTGCCATTCATTCTAGAAGATGAAGAGTACAGGTTGAAATACAATTCAGACCTAAAAGATGCTGTTCTCAGAGCACGGGCAAGTCCTCGCTCTTTATTGAAAGGATATCATGTGTATCTTTCATCACATATTCAACCCCCAGTTGATGTTCTTTCAACCATTGTGGGATCTTGTGGTGGCCATGTAAGTAGATACAGTATGCTTCTTTCTTTTTTTTCTTAAAAAATCATGGTCTCAGGCTCTACAAGCTGGATTTTCATGGAAAATAGAGAGAATTTATGTAGCTTTCTTGCTGGCATCCTCTCCCCTGGTACATTCATTTGCTTTCTCTCTCTCTCTCTCTCTCTATATATATATATATATATATATATTCTGTGTGACCCCAACAGCATATAAGTTATGTGTGAACCCACTTCTCAGCCGATATGAATTGACAGCTATGGTTGTTCATGCCGCAATGTAGTGCCAAACACTGTTTTATTTTTTCATTTTTTATTCTACAAAACCCTTTTGGATATAATTTTGAGCATTCCATCATAACATTAGGGGAACCTGGAAAAAACATGAAAATAATATTCTACGTGAAAATGACCAAAATGCCCCTGAAATTTTCAGGGTATTCTGGTAATTTTTCATCACCGGAAATATTTTTTTTATTACAATCTATGCATGCCCCAAATTTCACTTCAAAATGATTTATAGAATAAGAATTAAAAATAAAAAATAAAAAATTCTAGGCCGTCAGATGAAGATTGATGGTTAAGAAACAGCTTGCGACATTGTGATTTAAGCCATCTCAGCCATCTACTTCGATCTGATGGCTGAGATCAGGGGTCACATGCTATAAATGTGGATGGGGTCAAATGGAAGGCTTTCCCTATATATACAACGTGATCACAATTAATCTTGTCAATTGGATGTGAAATTCGGTGGTTGCATTTATTTCATTGACCAAGCTTAAAGTTCAAAAGAAATTTTCTTGAACTTTGTGACACCCAAGCTATCAGATTTCACATCGGATGGTTGTAAGTAATTGTGACTTCTCTGTACTAGAGGTAAATCGTCTCATTGTATACAATCCCTATATATATATATATATATATATATATATATTGAGAGTTGGATGCATCCATATGTCCAGCACTCTATAGGTCATGCATATTTAAAGAAAGGGAGAGTATAGAATAAGACCATTTACCTTTGGTCCAAAGTGATCACATTAATCTTGATTATTGGATGTGAAATTGGGTGGCTACAATTATTCCATTGATCATGCTCAAACTTTAAAAGAAATTTTCTTGAACTTTGTGACACATTCAAGGTATCAAATTTCCTATCGGATGGTTGTAAGTAATTGTGGCCACCTTGTATCAAAAGTAAATGGTCTCATTATATACAATTCCATAAAGAAATACGATCTAATTGATAAAATCATTTTGAGCCTCATGTTGCTTGGTGATTTGATAGGCCTGATGTAGTTTTGACATGTGTGGCCCCACCGTATGGCAAGCACATAGTTGATGTGTTCAAAGAAATTGGTTTTGTTTGCAGTTGTTGGAAGCGATAGATGAAGTGAAGGAGCCATCTAAGACAATTGTTGTGGCATGTGAAGAAGACATGGAGGAGGCCATAATGGCTGCCAAAGAAGGGATGTTAATCTACAATAGTGACTGGTTACTGAGCTGTGTCATGAGACAACAGCTTGATTTTGAGGCCCCTCAATTTGCGGAGTCCCTTTGATATAAGAGCTGTATGTACAGGACAGTAGCAGTTGTATGTGTGGGGTATTTGGAAACATGATCATGCAAAAGTGTGAACCAGCCTTGTTGTTAATAGTTTGTATTCTAATGTTTTCTTGTTAAGATGTGCCTGATCATTCCACCTTCATGTATGTTCCTCACAAGAGAGGTGATTTTTGCATTAAGTGCAAGCACACAAAATAAAAATCCTTTTCTGTAATTTACAGAATCATTTTTGGCTGTATTGTTCATCCACTTCCCATTTAGTGAATTTCAGTCTGACTTGAAAGCATGAGGATATCAATTGTTTATGACTAATAGGGTTTAAAACTGTCTAGGTGGTGTACTAGTATAACATTATATTGATGTAACCCACTGAATTCAAACAATAATATTTCTAATTCTTTGTAATTAATTTTTTTAAGAAGTTTTTAACCCAAAATGGTTTGCTTTCCTAGATGTGCATAGTGACTTGTAAATAAAGTATGAAAGTGAGAAGTGGATTTTGAGTATCCTATTAATTCAGAGTAGGTGTCAATTATATATACGTTCTACATGTGTTTTCAGGGGAGAAAAAAGAGAGGGGTCTCATGTAAACCATGTGCATAAAAGAAAGTTTCTACAGGGCCTAAGCTTTATGAAAACAAAATAATGCCTCCCCTCAAATCCTCATCCGGAAAGCACTTTGGGCATCGAAAATCTTTACGATGGTTCTAAAATCACTTTTTAACACCGACAATAAATTTTGAAACTTAAAAAATGATACAAATCTTACGAATATGTGAACACTTAAGTTTAGAGTGAAATGGATAGTCTAGAAGATTTGTTGCAATATGCATTATTTTTAGATCGTGAAATATCATTTCTTTTTTCTTGCAACCATAATGTTCAAGCTGAGATGATTGATTTAAAGGTCTTTCAACACTTGAATTGTAATTTTTGAGAAGTTACAAAAAATGAAGTCACTTAAATGGCTGTCTGATGGAGCGTTCCAGCATCCTCCCCTCTTTGCCACACCCATCTCAACTTCCTAGCTTTCCTTCCCTCTCATCCTTCCTAGTTCCCTTCCCTCTCAACATCCATGCTCATCCTCAGCAGGCACGCGTCGATCTCCGAAACGGTTCCTCCGGCACACCATCTCCCTCTATGCCGCCTGGCGATCATGTGTCGCCATCCCATGCAGCCCACAATAGGTTCACATGTCGCCCTCTCGAACCAAGAAGCCACCTACTTTGCCATCCATCCTATGTCCTCGTTGTGTGACATGGCTAGTAACAGGGGCAACATAAAGTCCATAAGGGAAATCATGCTCGAAAACTACACCTCTAGATGCATACGATAGTAATGAGCTTCAAAGGAAATGCGATAAGACAAGTGAGCTTACTGTTATAACCAATTTACAGCAGCAAAACTTCCTTCAAAACAGTGGTTAGGCAGCTTTGAGAAGTTCGTGATGAGGCTCAAAGGCTGTGCTTCCAAGATCATTAGGATACCTAATATCACATTAAAGGGAGGCTCAAAATACAAGTACAAGAGGAAAGGAGATATAGAGATGAGTATGCGTGGGACCCACTTGAAGAAAATCACAACTGATAAAAAAAGAAGACCTAATGTCGCATTAAAGGGAGGCTCAAAATACAAGTACAAGAGGAAGGGAGATAGAGAGATGAGTATGCGTGGGAAGCTCTTGAAGAAAATCACAAGTGATTAAGATGTGAGAAAGAAGAGTATGAATAAAGTGGGATAGGTCTTATTTATAAAAGTTCTAAGCGTCGGCTTTAACTTAAATTAGATCTTGGTCACCCAATGAATGATTCAAAGGTTGAGAGAGGCTAAAGACCTAGTTTTATCAATTACTATTGGTAGCTATCAAATGAATAGTGATGATCAAACACACCTTTATTACAATGCACATAAGTCACGTTAAACTTTCTCAAAATATCATATGTGTTAGCAAAAATTGGTGGATGCCGTGAGGCTGGTGATCATAGAGCCCGGATTTTTCTTTCCCATTTGAGAGAGAGTGAATAAATTAATTTTGCTCACAGAAACTCTGTATTTTTTTTTTCTCTTGCCGCTACGTTCTTCCTCTCTCTAGCTTCCCTTTTTATAGGGAGAAAAAAATGGCTTTAACGGTTATATTTCCAACGGGTCTTTGAGAATGGTTTTCCTTGATCTCAGGGATATCCATCCAACGTTCATATGAATGTTGTTTTATATGAATGTTGGATAACCATAGTATTCCTCATACAATTGTAGGCTTCCCATCCCACAATTGTAAATAAAATCACGCGAGGCCTTATGCCTATACGTGCCAACATCTCCCACTTGGCCATGGCGGCCGAGCGTAGTAATCAGTCACAAGCATACTCCCACTTTTGAGCATGACCTTTTAAGAAAACTTATTGTCATGAGGTTTTTCTTACGCTTTCGCCGATATGCCTCTCATAATAAATATTCATCATGAGGATTTTCATATTTGTGCGGATTTTCTCACTCATGAAAAAAAAATGACTGACTTAAACATTTTTTAGTCCCATTAAACTAGTATGCGTAGACAGTAGTTCAACACTTAGAGCCTTTGTTAATGGATCAGTGATCATATCTGATGAGGGCAAGTAACTAACGATTACTTAATATTTATCAACTACATTCTGAATATAGTGATATTGGACATCTATATATATTCATTTGGAGCTATTTTTTTCACTTTGAACTATTTTCTCCACTTTGAATTAATTTAATTGTAGCTTGATTATCACAAAATATTTGGATCGGTCCGACAATTATTTGCAGCTTTAAGTTATCTATAAAGCGCTTTATCCAGACGGCGAAAGTACAAGCAGTGCTACATGTAATATGTACCTAGCTACACACCATTGTTTCTTGCTAGACCAATAAACAACAACCCCTCCAAAGAAGAAAATATGTCCTGAAGTGGACTTACTATCGTCCTTATCCCCAGCAAAATCTACATCAGAATATCCTATAACTTCAAGTTTATCTACTTGAAAGCACAATTTCATATGCTTTGTTCCCTTGATGTACCTTAAAATTCTTTTTACTATTTTCCAATGAGTCACGCCATGATCACTTTGATATCTACTGACAGGTCCTACGAAATAACTCAAATATGGTCTTGTACAGTTTGCTGCATATACCAAGGCTTGTGCATAGGGAACATTAGGTTTTTCTTGTTCTTCTATTGGACAATCCTTCCTAGACAACTTTATTCCCTTTTCAACAGGAGTAGAGAATGACTTACAATTTTCCATTTGAAGTCAATATATCTCTCTTGGCTCAAGCACAATATTTTTATTTTCTATCCCTAGTTATTTTTATGCCTAGGACATAAGATGTTTCTCCCATATCTTTCATCTCAAACCGAGAAGAAAGCCATGACTTAGTTTTATCAATCATTTCTAAGTTATTTCCAGCTATTATGATATCATCTACATATAATGAGAGTAATTTAAATTTACTCACACAATGATTCAATTTATTTATTTAATATCTCATCTGTTGGATGACATCATGAAATGTTAAGTACCATTGTCTTGAAGATTGTTTTAAACCATATAAAGACTTATTTAAGAATGGTTTAATTATGAAGCCCTCAGGTTGCTCTATGTAGATGGTTTCCTTTAGTTTACCATTTAAGAATGCAGTCCTTACATTCATTTGTTAAAGTTCTAGGTCATAGTATGCAACGATTTCCAAAATTATTTTAGTTGATATAAATGTTGAAACTGAGGAATAAGTGTCGACATAGTCGACTGCTTTTCTTTGGGTAAAACCATTTTCTACTAACCTAAATTTAAATTTATCAATTGATCCATCATATTTTAATTCCCTTTTAAGCACCAATTTAGAACCTATAGGTTTCTTATCTGATGGCAAATCGCATAGATTTCAAACTTTATTTTTCTTTATAGAATCTAATTTTTCTCTCATGGCATGAAGCTATTTTTGAGATTCTTGTGACTTCATAGCATCATTGAAGTAAAAAGGGTTATGGATTTCATCTAGGTCAATAAGGTTATCTGTCTCCTCACTCATATAGACATAGAAATCATCAAGGTACGATGGAAGAGCTTTAAACCTCTTGTGGCTACTTAACATTAGGTGTGTGTGTACTTCAACAGCATCATGTTGGTCAGGGCTATTCATATTCACTGTAGGTAGTGGTTTTAAGTCATCTATGATTTTAAGTCGATTGTCATTATCTACTACAGGTAGGTTTTCTTCAATAAAATCTTTTAGAAACTTAGCATCTTTGCTTTCAATGAGCCCCTTATCTTTATGATAAAATCGATATCCCTTTGATTCTTCGAGGTAACCTATAAAATTGCAAACTAGAGTTTTGTTTCTAACTTATTTCTATGCTGATATGGAATTAGGACATGCGCAGTCGACCCCCACTTCTTTAAGTTTGATAGATCAGGTTTTCTACCTGTCCACAGTTCATAATCTATAGTTTTAATTAGACCCTGTTAAGAATATACATGGATGTGCTTATTGCTTCTCCCCAAAAGGTCTTGGGTGGATTAACATGAGTCATCATAGATTTAATCATTTCTAAGAGGGTTCTATTACACTTTTCAGCTACTCCATTTTGTTGTGGCGTATAAGGCATAATAATATGTCTTTTAATATCATATTCTTGGCAATAAGCATGGAAAGCTTCAGATGTATATTCACCTTCCCTTATCAGTTCTAAGAACTTTGATATTCCTATCCAATTGGTTTTCTACTTCTTTTTTATATATTTAAATTTTTCTAAATCTTTTGATTTATGGTGAATTAGATAAATGTATCCAAATCTAGAAAAGTCATCAATAAAAGTGATGAAGGATGATACCCCTCTATGAGTTTTAACATTGAGGGGCCCACAAATGTCTGAGTGGACCACATTCAATAACTCATTAGCTCTCTCCCCTTTATTGAATGATTTCTTGACCATTTTCCTTGACAAGCAGTGCTGACAGGTTGAAAATTCCACAATATTTAGATTTGGAATAAGACTCACTTTTATTAGCCTATTTATTTTGTCTTTTCTTATGTGGCCAAGCCTAAGATGCCAAGTATATGCATCAACAACCATTACACAATCAATATAACCAGAATACGATGAAGTTTTATTATCAGCTTTCTCATATACGTGAAGTAGGAACAAGTTGTGGTCATCAACTAGGTGTCCCCAAGCATAAATTTGTCCATGCTTTCCGATTGCTACTTTTAATGATCAGAATAGATTTCAAAACCCTTTTTAATAAGCAAGGGGACAGATACAATATTTCGTTCATGCAAAGGACAAAATATATATCAGTCAATACAATGTCGATTGTGCATACATACAATCGACAAGTTCCTACACCTAACACATTAGAATACGTGTTGTTTCCTATGTAGATGCGTTTTTTCCCAGCTCTTATTTCTTTGAAGTCATCGAAGAGATCTTTTGAAGTTACAATATGTCGATTAACGCCCGAGTCTACCCACCATCTTTTGATGTCGTGATCTGCCATCAAGTACTCAGAAACTACACAAATCACTTTATACCTCTTGCTTCCACTTCCGCTATTCTTTAGATTTTGCAGGTTTCTATTTTTTGGGCAGTAGTTCTCGAAGTGACCTGGCTGACCACATAAAAAGCATTTTGGCGGTCCTTGTTTAGTTTATTGGTTGTAGGGCTTAGTTCCTCTGTTTTTTAACCTATTGTTCCTCTTATTAAACTTCCCTTAAAATTTCTGGTTATTTGGCTTAGGTTAGCTAAGATTGGGAGGGCCTTGAGCAAGCATGAGTTCACTCTTTTTATCTTTGTTCATGTGCTATTGCTCTAAGGCTAGTTGCATAGGTAGGTCCCCTAATATAAGAGATTTTGCATTTAATCTAAGTGCAATTGTTACCATCATTCATGAAGGTGAAAGACTATTTAATATAGTGAAAATTTGGATACGCTCGGGGACTTCAGTCCCAGTAATGGCTAAATTCTTAGCCATAGCGAGCATCTTGTTAACATGTTCCACTACATTATTACCCTCCTTCATCTTAAATGAGTTATATTGCTCTAATAGTAATTGGATGTGTGTTTTAGAGGTTGAGTCATATTTAAGTTTTATTACCTTTAACATTTTCTTAGATGTTTCATGATGCTCAAAAACTTTAGTAAGGTCATCTTGCATAAAAGTTAATATAAAAGTTTTTGTTATGAGGTCATCCTCTAAAATTTTTTCTAACATTTTTTTTTCTTCTTCAGTTGGTTTATTACCAACTGCTGGTGGATCATCTTTTAGTACATACATGGTTCTATCTTGGAGGAGGAGATATTCCATTTTCTTCTTCCACATCCCAAAATTATTGCCATTCAATTTTTCAACTTTAGAAAGCTTAGCCATAACTATTCTACTGGCTATTTGCTAAGTTTTATTTGAACAAACAAATACTAAGTTCTAAAGAAGCTAAACAAGGTACCAAAAAATTTAATATGTGGTCAATACTTGTACAAAGAGTTGATTGTCGGTGTTGGAAATTGATTTTAAAGCCATTATGGAGATTTATGTTGCCAAAAGTGCTTTCCGGACGAGGATTTGAGCTGAGGCTTTATTTTGTTTTCGTAAAGCTTGAGGTCTTATAGAAATGGGAAAGTTTATATAAAGCCTAGGCTCTAAACAATCAAATTAGAGCCTACGTCAAAGTTTCACTAGAAGAGGTTGTTTTGATGCCCAAATATCATCAAATTGATCATCTCCGCATCAAGATGCATGGACATGAGAAAAAAATGGATTTCAAATTTTATAAATAATGCATCTTGTAACACATTTTTGGACCTTCAATTTTCAAGTTTTCATAGATCTATTCAATCTACACTATTTTTGAAGCATTAAATTTTATAACTAGAAAAAAAAGGAAATAGTTTATATAAAGTTGCAACCTTAAAATGTAGAATTATAGATGCACCTAAAAAAATCCATCGAAAAAGTTGTTTTAATTTTGAAAAGACCTCTAGATGATCATCTCGACATCGGGATGGAATATGAAAAAAAATGGATTATGGGTCCCAGAAATAGCGCATCTTGCAATACATTATCTAGACTGGCCATTTTCAAGATTTTCATATGTTCATAAATATACTTGATTTTAACCATTTTTGGAGTTTAAAATTTTATAATTAGATATGAAAATAGATTTTTAGATAATCCTAAAACCAATTTCTCCAAAATTACATGTTATAATAAAATTTCGAGATGCGCCTTAATTGCATTGTTTAAAGTTGCAACCTTATAGAAACTACACCCAAAATAAAAATATAATTTAAGGCTATCATAAAACTTTCCGGTATTAAAATCATATTTCTCGATACTATTTGAAGGTGAGTTCTAATTGGATTGTTTAGAGCCTCGGCTCTATACTAATCACACCCTATAGAAATTAGATAAAGTTTGTATAGAGCCCTGACTCTAAACAATCAAATTAGAACCTATCTTTAAATATATTTTATTTTTAATTATAAAATTTAAATATTCAAAAATAAAATAGCGTAGATTAAGCAGCCCATGAAAACTTGAAAAACTTAAAAATTAACGATAGTTAAAGATACACTATTTTCAAAACGTGAATGAAATTTTTGAGGTGGGCTCGAATCTATATAAACTTTTCCCATAGAAATTTCATCCTTTTTTATTTGAAGAAAGAAAGATATTAAGGAGAGGGGTTTTCAATTGTGCGACCGTGAGCCTGATGTTTGCCTCCTTTTGCAGAGAGCTATAAGTTTTCAGTCTCTGATTGTTTTGCTGCAACTCAAATCATTTCTTTTGAGAGAGAGAGAGAGAGAGAGAGAGAGAGAAATTTTTTCATAGCGCTAAAGAATATGTCCGTGGAAGCAGTTTCAGCTGGGGGCCTTTTTGTTCATAGGCTGAGATTCAGGAGTTTCAATGGAAGACAGCAAAGCAAGGCTTCTTTCCTGTGTCCTTGCGTTGTTAGAGCTGCACACTCAACCGAGGACGAGGACAGGTTCGACAAGCAACTTGGTTAGTCTTTCATATTCCTCTGTTTCCAATTTCCCTCTCCTATGTAGAAATTAGTTTGTGTTTCTGGTTGTGAAATTAGGGTGCTTCTCTCTTTCTCTCTCTCTCGATTAAAAACATATGATTTAATTGTGTTTTCATGGTTTGTGGGGCTACTTCACGGTGGTGACAATTGGTGGAATTGTTCATAATGGGGGTGCAAACTTGGCTTTCTCTGTGATTTCACAAGTTTCGAATTCCTGAAGTTCCGAATATTGATACCTGTTTGGAAGTGGAACACTGAATATAGTTACAGTAGAGTGATTGCAGGGGTTGGTACCATATGGCATCTCAATGGGCTAATACTTTACACTGCCCAAAGAAAGATGAGATAATTCTTTAATATTGGCCTGCGTTAATCTAATTGGGGGCTGTGGGTTGCTTCTATTAATGGAGTTTCAGTGGTTTGGGCCTCAGACTCAGCCCTGGCCCGGAACGGAATGACTAGGCTGAGTCTATATTCGCCAAAGAAAGCTCTGAAAGTTCAAAAAAATGTAAACAGTTTGTTAAAAATAATTAATGCTCAGTAAAAAGTAAAATAGATAATATTAATCATTAAAAGTCTTATAAACTTCAGAAAAGTGTGTAAAAGATGGACTCTTGAAAATTTTGAATTATGCCTTTATATATTTCAGAAAAATCAGAACAAAGTAAAGAATAAAAAATTGGAGTATGTAATTAGAAAAGCTCCCAAATCATTATAAACACCGTATAAATTATAAAAGTGTATTTTAAATCATACATCGAATATATTTTACCTTAATTTTGAGTTTTACATGATTTTTAACAGTGGGGAGTTGACCCTTGAAGATAGCACTAAGTATTGGCTTCCATTGTTATCCTAATTGGGTCCATGCACACTGATCTATTACATATCCTGAACCTGAAGAGGCAAAGTGTTCATTCAAATATCATTTGATACGTGTCAAACCAAGTTCAAGACTCTAATAAGTGTTTGGTGAAAATATGGATTTCAAACCTCAAGTTTCTTAAAACGTCTAGGAAGTGCCTATGGAAATAGAAGTCAGCTACCTATGTGTTTTCATTTGAAATTATATATTATTCATAAAGGCGCAAAAGGTTTTGGGGGGCTGCAAAACTGCTCAAAATCCGGGTCCATGACTAAGTTTGAAATCTCTTATTCTCTAGGGAACAAGCACTCGATCAGTTGTATTTTATTGCAATCATATTCGCACTAAAGGAAGATCACATTGGACATACTTCCCATGGCCCAGCATAATCATATACCATATTGGTTTCGTCCTGTTGATAAAATGAGACCCACCAGTTACAGATGGAAAAATAGAACCTCTTGTAGAGGAAAACGGTTAATTCAACTACTCCTATCTACTTTCATCCTTTTTGGCACTTGGTTGAACCAACGAGGTCCTCCCAAAGCATATTGCAATCATTGTAGGCATTGATATACTTGCTAGCTGTTTCAAGCAACAAACATACTGCACATAGATCTTAATTGACAGTGCATGGCATACTCTTTTTTTCCTGTGAGATCTCCCTCTTGACTGCCACTTATTGTAAGTCATGCTCAGTTAGTTTAATCAATTTTCTTTTGGGATCCTCCATATGATGTGTGTTTCTTGGTTATCCATCTCATTTTGTGTTGAATTTGTACTCTAAAACTTCTGACTGCATGATTGGTACCTCCTCCTGGCATGTTAGCAAATCACATCTCTTGCGAACTTTTTGTGCACTTTTTTTATGATCAGTAACACATCCATGTGAACGTGTGTGTGTGTGTATATATGAAATTTCAATCCTCATTAAGTCGGGATCCATGTTGTGGTTGGCAATGAAGATATTCTTCTGCCTTCACATGACACAACATATATCATGTCAAGCGATTGCATACTTGTCTTCATTGATTGCTCTAAAACTTTTTAGCCTTTACGATTACAAATGGATGTGCTTTTGTATAAGGAATCTATATATATATATAGGGTACAGTTTGGATAGAGCCTAGGCTCTAAACAATCAAATTAGAGCCTACCTTCAAATAGTGTCGAGAAATGTGGTTTCAATACTGAAAATGTTTGTGATAGTCTTAGAATATATTTTCATCTTTATTTATAAATTTTAAGGCTTCAAAAATAGTGTAGATCGACAGATCTATGAAAACATGAAATCTTAAGAAGTGACGGTCCAAAAATGCATAACAAAATACGCTATTTCCAAAACTTGAAATCCATTTTTTTCTCATGTCCATGCATCTTGATGTTGAGATGTTCAATTGGAGGATATTTGGGCATCAAAACAACCTTTTCTAATGAAAATTTTGCAGTCGGTTCTAATTTGATTGTTTAGAGCGTCAGCTCTATATAAACTTTTCCCATATATATATATATATAGTTTTTGTATATGTATAGTTTTTGTAATGGTTAGTATCCTATAATATTTGAGGATGGTGATAATAAAGCCTATGAATGTTCCTTCAAATCTTTTCAGGATTGTTTTCTTTAAGAAAGAATGTTGAAGATGTAGCCATGCGTATTGAAATGATGGCACCAATGGCACTGGAATTAGAACATCAGAGACGGTCCCTGCAGGAAGAAATGATCCGGGATTATAATCTTTGGGATGACCCAGCGAAAGCAAATGAAATATATAATGCTTTGGCGGACACCGCACACAGCATTAACCTTCTCAAGGATCTTCAATATAAGGTACTATTCCGTGGAAATGTGCAATTTTTATTGAAGTCCAAGTAAAGCAAGTTTTTGGTCTCTAGATAATAAAGGTGTTTCGTTTGTGAGAAACATAGCTTCGTAATGATTTTATAGTTGTTCATTTTCTTCTATGCATTTCAAATTGTGGAAATTGAGAAAGGATTTGTGTTTTCCTTTGATATTTAGTTTCAATTGGCAACAATGCTAAAATATTTTGTTGTAAGTAGTTTTGTGATGAAGACAATCTTTCATTTGACACAATTTGAGTGGTCAGCAAAAACTTTTTGCAGGCTGAGGAGGCAAAGTTGATAACACAGCTTGCTGAAATGGACACTATAAGCTATTCTTTGTGCAAGCAAGCATACAATACCTCCATAGATGTCAGCAAGTCCTTGGATCGTTATGAGATATCTAAGCAACTTACTGGACCTTATGACAAGGAAGGAGCTTGCCTATCAATCATTGCTGGGAGTGAAGGAGTTGATGATGAGGTTTGAGAATTATTTTATGACACCTTGGTTTAGTTTCCATTTGCAACAATATGCCATGCATTATGCAAGAGAAATAAAGCTACCCTGAGTAAACAAACTGTTGTGGAGCCTTAATTTTTTCTTTGCCTTCACCTATCAAATTTCTTTTTTCTTTATGGGATTGACTATGTATTTATCAACTTGTAAAAGCTACAGCTTGTCCCTGGGTTTTTAAAGATAAGAGCTGTGTTACTCATGAGTTACTTGAATAGCAAATCATCTGCAGTGTCTTTTTGTTTATAGCTAGTCCTAATGAATTTAATATGGCTATTTCCATTTTTTGTGCTGGTTGACTATTATTTTGTTATTACTACTGGAGGGAAAAGAAACATAGCATTTGTAAATAGTTAATTTCTTTGACCTAGATTGCAAGTTCTGTTTAGCTTAGGCTTTGAATTTGGTGGGCGTGCCTATCATGACTCGCTATAAATTATTGAATTTGGAATGGCCTCGATTATTAACTTAATTTAGTTATTGTAGTTACTACTATGCCCTTGACCCAACATCCATGTATGATTTAGTGTTTGGTTCATGAAGGTGAAATTAAATTACTATAGGTATTTGTGTAAGTCAACTGCCAGATTTTTTTAGAAGAAATTTTTGTGCTGCGGGCTTAAACAAGATCAGTAGGTTCTAACTGCCTGAATGCCATGCTCTTTTCCTCTTCTTTTACCTGCTCTAATTTGGTTGATTGCTTAACTTTGAATATGTAGAACTATTCTTTATAATTTCAAGCTAAAAAATTTCGCTTTTGCAGATTTGGGCAGAGAAGCTTCTAAACATGTACATCACTTGGGCTGAAAAGCAAGGTTGCTCAAAAAGGGTTGTTGAGAAGTATCCTTGTAAGGATGGTGGTATCAAGTCAGCAACCATAGAATTTGAATGGCAATTTGCATATGGCTATCTTTTTAGGAGAGAGAGGAGTACATCGGCTGATTAAAAGTTCAATTGATGGCTCTGTCCTCCACGAGGTTCTATACTCTTGATTCTCTAGTGATTTTAGAATTTTAATTGGACATATAACCCCTATTGCATTGGGTTTCTAGCATGCATTGGTGGTCACCTTTCAGGGGAGTGCTGCTTTGACCTCCTCTTCAGAACTATAATTACTAAGAGGACACGTGGATATATAAGGATGTTCAAGTACCTCCTTTTTAGAGTAATTGGTTTTTTTGTAAACATCAAAGAATTGATTGAAATACCCATGTTTTAATGTAGGCAAAATTTATCAAAAACAACTCAATAGATGAACTATTTAGCATTTCAGCCATGTATTTTGATTAAGTTTAAAAAGCCCATCAAAGGGCACATAATCTTGAGTTAGAAAAGTTGATATTTTAGGTGTGTTTCGATGATTTACCTTTATTCTATGTGATAATTATTTTGTTAATTAAAAATTGACTATGTACCCCAAAGTTCAAAGTGTTGGGAAAATTATCCTCCACTGGGATTATCAAACTCAATTATCCATTTTAAGTTACCAGAATGCTCATCATGCTCAATCATATGTATGGTGGCACTTTTCCTTTCAACTGAACTTGAACTTAACAAAGGTTTCCAGATGTCATGAAATTATTATGCGCAATTGCACTCACAATGTAGATTACTTCATGTATTATTTGAACTGGACTTAACTTCGTTCACCGAAGGTTTCCTTTCTATACTTAAATGCTATTTATTTGCTCTGAAAGTCTATAATCTGTTGGTCTTTTTTATGGCAATAATACCAATGACATTTTAAAATTCTTCTATAATATATTAATCTAGCGTGAGATTAGATCAATAAATTCAGAGGCTGTTGTTCTTGTAATACGGACTTGATTTAGATTGCGTACCTTACTTTGGCATTCTAAAGATTGTTCTTATTTGTTGGGAAACTTGTTCTTTCACATTCTAAACTATAGTCTCATCCTTTCATTTTCATATCCTTGTTCATTGAAATATGGTGACATTCTTGATATCATTTGACATTTGCAAATGTCTGGATTAAATTAACGTGGTTTAACCATATCCACTCCTGGTGAAGCTGCCTCAAGTATTGTTTGTGTGTGTTTTTTCAGCATACGGTTGTATAAGTGACAAAAAAGTACTATCTGAGCATCTAGTTATACACTTGCTAAATTTTATGTATTTTGATTCCTAAGAAGAGATGATTCACAAAAGTTATATATCATATTTGTATGAAAAGTAAAAGCTCTTTATTTTCAAGCATGGTTGTATTTCTTTCTTCCCCGAGAATTCCTTCAAGTTCTAACAGTTATGCTTAAATGTTCAGAGTAGCGTGGCCCAGGTGGATGTGATCCCTCTCTTCATGGAAACAGCCCCAAACCTTGAAATTGATTTTGACGATCTGGAGATCTCTACATTCTTCCCTTCTAACACAAAACAACAGACCGTTAACAAAGCGGGGGCAACTATCAGGATTTGCCATATTCCAACTGGTGTGAAGGTCCAATCCTCAGGTTAAGAAGCATAATCATGTCCTTAATTTTGAAAGCAGGCTACATATTTTAATTCTAGTTTAATCTGTGGCAATTTGTGGAGAAGTTGCAGGTCAATATTAAAAAAAAAAAAAAATTGCAGGATAAATATTAAGCGGCTTTCTCTTTGCCTTCAGATTAAGAACCCAATCTTGGGTTCTAAAATTTTTAATGGAAAGAAGTCAGAACTTTTTCTAATTTAATTATGTTCTTTTTCCTGTTCTTTTGTTTCTTCTGTCTGCACAACAACATGTAGCAGCGTTTGCCACACTAGAGCACTCGGGATGCCAAATGAGTGGGTTTTTTCTGCTTACTTCGAAAGAAAAGGAGTTTCTGATTCGGTATGCCAAATGAGTGGGTTTTTTCTGCTTCCAAAAATAAGGAGTTTCTGATTCTTGAGGTTTGGATCATTTGGAGTCAGAAATTTGGTGTATGCATGTCTGTGGTCTTTGATTGTCCTTCTTTCCTTGCTACAAAATTGGCTACAAAATTCCATTTACTCCTTTATTGAATAATACCAAGCATTAAACATTTTTCTTTCTTTTCCTTTTGTTGTTGGTTGGGTAAGTTGGGACTTCAAAAGAAAGTTTTATTTTGAGTTTGTGGGCAGTGCACTTAGTTTCATTTTAATTTGTTTGAGGTTTCACATCCAAAAAAAGCTAGACCTCATTCCAAATCACAGGGCCCTTTTCTATCACTAAAAGAAAAGAAAAGCTGGAGAATGCTTTTCTAATTTCAATACCTTTTTCCCGTGAAGTTCCTCATTCAGTGGATGCCTCATCATTTTTATTATGTTGATTTTTACCATGTCTGCCATTTTCTGTTTCAACAAATTACGTGAGTAAGACTGATTCTAGCTTATCCAGAGAACCTTAATCTCAGGCTTTGCACCCTCTCTTCTTTTTCAGTATTGGTGGTTGCCACTTGTAATGAGACAATTCTCATTGCTTTGGCATTCCTTTATATTTGATGATTGTGCCATGGTGCAGGTGAAAGAAACCATCTTGCCAATAAAATCAAGGCGCTTAATCGTTTGAAAGCAAAACTTTTGGTGGTTGCAATGGAAAGAGGCATATCTAACATGCAATATTTTTCGAAAAACGATATCTATAATATGGAGCAGCAAGAAACTCGCAGGTACTTATCTGGCCCATATAAGTTAGTCCATGATCTAAAAACTGGCACTCGAGTGCCGGATCTGTTTTCTGTTTTGGATGGAAACATTGACACTTTTATTGGAGCTCATATAAGCTTAGGAAGGAAAACTATCAAGAACTAGCTAGTTTTGAGATTTTGCATGATGCCTTGTGCTCGGTAAGTTAATGTCACTCATTGTAATTGTTTTTTTTTCTTCTCTCTAATCTATGTAGCTTTTATTTCTTTCCATTTTTTGACGTGGGCTTTCTTTTCTGGTTTCTAATGTACTTGTCTCTTGAAATGTTGGATTTTGATTGATGAATAAAAGTAAGTAATTTTGTCAAAAAAAATATTACAGGATGTGTATTTATCCATGCACGTGTGCGGGCGAGTCACATGATACATCTTGCTTGACAAGTGTTTTTGATTGGGTTCCGAATAAAATGCTGCAATAAATGAAGGAAAAGTGGTTTATGCGTGTGGGGAGGCATAACTACATTTGCCTACCCCCCGAGGCATCACATATCCATCTTAAATAAGGATGTAGAGTTGTGGTCCATCCAGAAAACGGTAAAATCAACGGTTTAAAATTTTCTTTTAAAAACTTACATTACATTCATGATCTCCAAGTTAGAGATTATCGATAGGTAGGTTCAAAATCCATATGAAAAATGGATCGTGGAGAGGGGACGCAAATTTACATACGATTCGTGGCACTCATAATAAACGGTGGGTTTTGGTGCGTTAGCTAACGCGCCTATTCAAATGCGGTTTCCTTCAAAATCTATATTAAAGGTGGCTTTTTGGACTGGTAATTTTGATAATTTTGACCACCATTTTCTTGCATCTAGAAAGAAGAGGATTTTTAGTTTCAGAATGGAGCATTTTACACGTTATCTATGAACCATTGATCACCGTACGTCTACATACACCACTTTGTAAGCTGTAAAATCATGGATCTTAGGCGATAAAATGGAAATGCATCTAGAGTGAGTTAACAAAGGCATTTCAAATTCTAAACCTATGTGAAAGGTATATTTTTAAAAGATGGTATTTGAATTGAAACGCGTTTAAATATACATTATGCTCCTGCAAGAGTAGTACATTGTGCTAATATCAAGAAACCAAACTTTTATGGGTGTGATTTGTATAAGGTTTGAGGCCCTAAATCAAAGGAAGACGCACTTTCATATGGTATAGAAAGATATTGTTTCAGTACTGAAAATCTTTATGATGGCCTAAATTTATTTTCATCTCAAGTAAAATTTAAAACTTTAAAAACAAGATAGATCACGTAGATATATGAACACTTGAAAATTTTGAAAATTGAGAGTTCTATAATACATTATAGGATGCACTATTTCGAAGATTTAAAGTCTATGTTATTTAAGTCCATGCATCACAAGGTCAATGATCGGATTTGAGGGTTTTTCGATATCGAAAGTGAATATTTGAGGTGCGCTTTAATTTTTCTTTCTTGGGCCTCAACCTTATATGAACCATTTCGAACTTTTATTTAAGACGCTTAGAGAGGCAAGACAAGAACTAAGTATTTGCTAACTTCACGCTGAGAGAGGCGAGAGAAAAGCAAAGTCTATAAGGACTGGGGAAATACAAGTTTACAAAACATAAAAGAAAAGGGTGGAAATAGGAGTAGATTCGTGCATTGTAATTCAATGATTTGAAATAAACTAAGAGACGTTTAATGTTGAGAAAGGTTTCTATACTTCTCCTACTGCATATAAGATACGTACTTTTTTTGCACTTCAATTTAGAGCAAGTGAGCCATTGACTGATTGATCTAGATCTAATGCCTTAGAGTATTTTATTTTTAATTTGCTTTCTACAAATTGCATAAATATGATGGAGTGCATCTTAAAAAATATTAAAAGGAATTTTAGATAAAATATAATGATCAAAATATCCTTTGAAACTTTTAGGGGTATTTTGGTGATTTTATTTTATTGAGATGTTTTATTTATTTATTTATTTACAAGTGTGAGTTTAAGAGAGGAGCGGATTCCTAAAATCTAGTGTCAAAATATTTTGTATAAAAAAATTAAAAATCAAATACTAGTGACGTGATATTGTGCTAGGGGTCATCTCAGCCGTCCATTCAAAATGGACGGTTAGATAAGACGAAGTATATAAGTTTTATGTTGTAGGAGAAACATAGAAATCTTGCCCGACCCCTTAATGTTTTCTATGCCAAAAAAAAACAAAAAAAAGGAAAAGTGAAAAGATTTTATACTCATGTAGGAACATACAATCCAAAATAAAACTCTTGCTAGTAATATCTTTTAGATCCAGGGACATAATCTTTAGAATTGAGTAAAGAACCTCAAAAAAAACAAAAAAAACTCACTTTCGACGCTCCTGATATACCAAGATTGCACAAGAATCGTTCAATTTTTTTGAGGGAAAGATCTATAGGTTCAAGAGCTTAAAATTCTTTTTTTTTTTGTTTAAATATAATCATTTAGTAATACTTAGATGGATCCTAAAATTTTAAATAAAAAAAATCTCCCTAAATAGCTATTTTGCCCGAGGGAGTTGGAGTATAGGCTATTAGAGCTAAAAAAAAAAAAATCTCTTAGAGAATTTACCTTGGTATACAAGGAGGTCACAATTCATTCTTAGTCATCAAATGTCGAGACAGCTCGGGGTGCATCACGAAGTTGGAGAAATTTTGAGATTAACGGCCAACATTGATTACAATTTTCTTATACCAAAAATAAATAATCTTATTGTGCAAAGTGGCCATGTGACCTTGTGGGACTAGAAAAATTACCAAAATGCAAAAATTAAAAAGTCATTGCTTTTTAAAGGGTGTGGTTCGTATAAGGCTGAGGCCCTAAACTATCGAACTAAGGCGCACCTTCAAATAGTCTTGAAAGATATTTCAGCACTAGAAATCTGTGATGGCTTGAAAATTTATTTTTATGTCTAATTATGAAAATTCAAAGCTTCAAAATTAATATAGATCGAGCATATCGATAAATACTTGAAAATCTGGAAAATTGAAGGTTCAAAACATTATTATAAGATGCACTATTTCTAAGACTTAAAATCCATTTTTTCTCATGTCCATACATCTTGAGATTGAGATGATCAAGTTGAAGATTTTTGGCATTGAAATAACCTCTTCTAGTGAATTTTTGAGATGTGCCTTAATTTGATTGATTAGGGCATCACCCTATATAAAACATAATGGATTGTGATTTGTGCTACTTCATCTCCAACATCTGTCCTCTCATTAACGGGCAGTTGAATGTATTATTCATCTGCTCAAAGTTTGTTGTCATCCTTAAATTCAAAGGGTTTTTTCATCTCATGTGTATGACATTGAGGATAAACAGTAGTGATGAAGTAATACTATACCCTTAGGGGTGGGAATGTGCCGGACATCCCAGCCCAGAACTGCTTGGGTTCTTACCAGTGTTCGAAAACCACTACATGGGATGAGTGCTCAGCTCTTGCCTGATCCAAGTACTCGGCCAGAGTCTGAGTAACTTGGCCTGGGTAGAGTCTGAGTAACTTGGCTTGGGTAGGGCCGAGTTTTGTAGCAGCAAAAAAAAGTTAAAACTTTGTTAAAAATTATAAGAATACAAAAATAAGAAATGGATGTTTAAAGTATGATTAAACTAAAAACATCAAAATGAGATTGAAAATAGAAAAAATATAGATTTTTAAAAACCAACTTCTTACAGGGGGTATTTTTGAAATGGGAAAAGTTTCTATACTTTTCATACTCTATATCCCTTAACCCCTGTCTCCCCTCCACCCCATCCAGCGGTCAAAAAATTTAGAAGATTTAGACAAATTTGATTTTCTTTTTTTCTAAAAAAGAAAGCAAAACATAGTTTCTGTTCATTTTTAGGTGCAATTTTTTACGACAAAAAATTCCCATGCAATCAACATGAAGAAATGGGGAGAAAAAATAAAGTCTTGAAAAAAAATTTGCAATAGTTTTAAAAAAACATATGAAATTTAAGTTGAACTTTTCAAATTCAACGGTCGAACAGAATTGGCAAAACTGACGATCAAACTAGCTCAACTTGTCAAATGCTAGTTTGGACCGATTCTGATAAATCCCGATTTAGTGCTTACATTGGATTGGACAAGGTCTCGGTCACCGGTTCCACCGGTCGGACTGCTGGTCTGGTCACGATTTAATAACTTTGTTTTCTACTAAAACAAAACTCATTTCATTTTAATAATAGGAAAAAGTTTATATAAGGTTGCAACCTTATAATGTAGAGCTACGGATGCACCTCAAAAATCCAACGGAAAAAGTTGTTTTAATATTGAAAAACCATTTGATTGAACATCTCGACATTGAGATATACGACTACGAAAAATAAAAAAGATTTTGAGTCTAAAAAATAGTGTATCTTACGACATATTATTTACACTGTCCATTTTCAAGATTTCCATATCGTTATAGATGTACTTGATTTTAACCATTTTTTAAATTTAAAATTTTATAGTTAGATATAAAAATAGATTTTGAGATAATCCGAAGAACATTTTACATCAAAATTATATACCATGATAAAACTTGAAGGTTCACCTTACCTCTACAGCTATGGATGCATTTGTATGCCGACTGCACCCTTAATAAGGCTTAAGATGAGAGGAGGGGGGCGTCCCCATTTGTGAGGTAACGGTTCCATGTGCCATGTCCCACATGTGTGTGTGGCGCATGCATGGGACTGGATCCAAATGCCCCACATGTGTTCCAACTAGCTCTTTTTAATTTTAGAAATTTCGAATGTACCCTTTCAAAAGTTAGACTACCAAAAATAATTTGTAATATTATGAAAAATTCGTATAAAAAATTTCTATGTTAAAAATAAAAAGTCTAGAAATGAATTGGTACCAACGGGTCAAAGAAAGTGATTGTCAAGGCACTCCATCTTACCTAGTAATTGTGATCTTCAACTATATTCTCAAACCTACGTAATGAGACCCATTATCCACAATCTTGTACAAGGGCTCACGATTAGTTTGTCAAAAATAGCCAATAAATAGTAGAACCACAGTCCTGGAATGTAGATAAAAAGTTCCCCTTAAGATAAGTCAAATATATTTATCACAATTGTGGAAAGGGGCTCTCTCTATGCACATGTATATGCATCCTTTGTAGGATTTGTTTCCCGGTATGCAGTTGTTTTATATACATGTCATGCGAAACTTTGTTGAGGATTAGTCATTTCTGTCATAGACTACAAAATCTCTCCAAACTCAGAAACCATCATTGGTCATCTCTCTGACTTCAACAAGGGATGACCCTCTAGAA